TTCCTGTTGTGTTTGTTATTAAGTCCAATGACCTAAGAGCCATAAGGACCACCATCAATCACGTGTATTAAATGCTTCCTACATGCCAGACTTTATAAATGTTCTTTTGTTTGGTTCCTAGACATTCCTTGACACTTAGATTTTACAAAGAGAGTTATAATCAGGTTTGGGCTACTAAAACTCATGGGCAAACCATCTGTCCAGGCAGAATCTTTAAATAGCTGACTGAAGAGTAGGAAACGTTGACTAAATGTCCAATTACTGGAATTAGTGAGTCAATTCATTCAGCTAGCAGAAGGCAGGGGAGTTTGGAGAGGTACCAGCTTCTAAAGCCAAGCCCATGACTGCCGATATAAGGGTCTCCAGCCACACTGCCTTCTCTGTGTGCCCCCACGAGACTGTTGGTTTCTTCTCTGCATCAAAAGAATGGCCTATATCTCATCTCTTCCTGTACCACCTAACTTGGAAGAAAGGTATTAAAGGGAGCATGTGACAGCCCCCAGGACTGAACACCTGTGGATGGAAGATATGCCTGCTCATACAGATCATAGAGCAAATGGCCCTGATGACCTCTGACAGATGGGGTTGCCGGGTACTATCTGTCAATAGGAACAGCAATAAGTATTACCTCTGCCTCCACAAAATTATTTGGAACTTCCCAAAGAGGATGTCTGCTCTCTGGGATATCTCCAGGTCCATTTTTGGGTCCCATTAGATCCATGGACTGGTTGCGAATGTGCAGTGAGCAGGAAATAAAATGCTTTGCAGAGGCCGCTGTTAAACAATCACCATGACCAACGCCAGAGAAGCTCCTATAGCTGAATGAAGAAACACGTGCTCCCAGGGCTGTCACCATGACTGCCATCTTACTTCCTGTTCCTCCTCTACAAGGACATCGAGCACAACAGCACCCAGTCTCTGGGCCCTGGCCCAGAGTTTCAAAACTCAGGATGCAACCCTGAAGCTATCCATGGTGCTGGCTCCTCATCCCCAGCCTCAGCTTCTGCAGACAGCCTAACACAGAGGCAGGCAGGATGAATCACAGGAGGCTGCTGGCCAGATACTGAGTCATAGTAGCAAACCAAGAGCCAGGCCTTCTTTTCTTGGCAATGCAGGGAGACCAGTGAACACTCAAGATCTTCAGTGACCAAAGGATGCTTACAGTGGCTATTGTTTCTCTGTCATGGGGGGCATTTTCTGCTGAATAAATTCATCTTTGTATTCATAAATCTTGCAAAGCTGTTGTTTGATGGGTGAGAATGAACAGAGAAGAAACAAGTCTGTTTTCTGGAAAGAGGCATGGGGAAACTGAAGAGCAGAAAATGTAGCTTGATTTCAAAACCAATAACCAAGATGCCAACCTGTGGGCTTTCAAATGAGGCACCAATGCCTCTGTGACTCATTTATTAACACTCCATGGTGACAAGGACAGGCTACCCCCCAAGGGTCTTACTTTCAGCCTAGAATGAAGGAACACTGGTCTCCACTGGAAGCTGTTCTGGGTGCTGGTGCTGGTGTTGGTATTAGTTAGAAATATGATGACCTACAGACTTGTAGGTCAACTTCAGCTATACTAGCTGTAGGCTTGGTTCCTCACATCTTGTATTGCTAAACTCTGGCTTCCTCATCTCTAAGATGAGAAAAGCTCCCCCTTGCAGTATCATGTTCAGTTCTGCAGGAGGCCATATCATCTAGGCAATAGCCTGGCCCTTTAGGACATTGCTACTGTGGAGGCTCTCCTTGAGCACCAAAGACTTTTCAAGATCACTAACCAGAAACCAACGGGAGGAGCAAAGGCCTTGGCTTTTAGATGCAGCACCAAGCTTTGTTCTTTTTCTGGTGAGAGTTCTTTCAAAATATTTAAAGAACGCCCTCCCTTGCGGTAAGTCATGAGAGAACAAGAATGGAGACTCCATCCCAAAAGATCAGCGCTTGCTGCCAGGTTGAAATGACAGAGAAATTGTCTCTTTTCAATGCAGGAAGTGCACTGGTTTAATTGATTTGCTTTTGTCTCTCTGGATAAAGGCTCCTTTCTTGTCAGAAACTAAGCCCAGCAGCCAGCATAATGGCAGCAAAGGTCAACTAAGGAAAAAGCTGAAGTTGCTGCATAGAATTCTCCAGGGGAATGGCTGAGCCTTCCCTGCAGGATCAGAGAAGGAGATTCACATGCAGTGGCTAGTGGTACATTCAGTGACG